TCTTGTGAGCTCTTCAGTTTCATATCTAATTTTAATTTTAATTTTCATTTAAATTTTCATTTTCATTTTTTTGCACTTTTGAAAATATACGTGAATGTTCCTTGAAGTGAGTAAAAGAATAAAAATGGAAGTGAATTATACGATCGTTAAAATGTGCTGCGCAATCTTTAGATTGCCGGGCTATAATACGATCGTTAAAACGCGCAGCGCAATCTTAAAATTGCTCCGACCTGTAATTTGCGCGGAACATATTCATGTTCTTCAAGAATATTATGCAAAGCGGGTGGAACAATGATTGTAACACGGATTTGTGCGATATAAATGTCATATTATTCGTATTATAAGCGAACTATGTAATATTACGGGGGGGGGGGGAATGTCCGTTTATATTTGATAAACTTAATCATTCCATAGAGGTTTAATTAGTTGCTGGAATGTGAGGGAGGAAGGGGGCTTATTGAGGGGTGTGTTGTTCACATGCATCATCGTAATTAATGCGCTGTTCGAGATAATGATTATTGATCTTGAGTGCATACAACAAAAAGCAGAATACGCTAGTGGTTCCCAAGCATTTTTACTCCACGACGAGCTGAGACCCAAAATAATTTAATATTCGTCCAGGCGAGACATTAATTGATTTATGTACCTTTGTAGTAGGCTTACTGTACCCTCCATTCGTTGCTTCTGCTTTTGTTAGTAATTATTGATTGGTTCCGCCACCTTCGAGCACAGTGCATGAACAGAGTGAAGCCCACCGTACAGTATTTCTCTCTCGCTGCTGCCGAGATGTCTCTCCTGCATAATATTGTAACAAGTAGGTCAATGTCAATGTTGGACGGTGTTATTATTTTGTGGCCCTAACCATGATTTGGTGCAGATTGCGCTGTCTTGTGTAACTACTACTTACTACTACTACTACTACTACTACAACTACAACTACTACTACTACTACTACTACAACTACTACTACTACTACTACTACTACTACTACTACTACTACTAATGGCACTATTCTGTTGAGGTGTGGGTGCAAGTGAGGAATAAGGTTGTTGACGTTTTACTTGAGAAGCCGTGTTACGCTATTCAGTTTGTTAGTGTTTGAGCGCTTAATCAGCTGCTTGCACTGTATGCTTCCCGGGAAGCTGAGAATGTTTCGTAGTGTTCTATGGTCTGCTGGGGTAATAATATAGTGTTGAGCGCATAGAGCCTGCTGTTGAGTGGGAATACGCGCTATACAAAGGCTATTTATTATTATTATTGTTTTATTCAACATTAGGTAGGATATCTCATACCGGTAACATTTCTTGAAAAGTGAACAGGTAGCTCTGACCTGTATGGTCCCGACACTGACTACTACTGCTGCTGCTGCTGCTGCTGCTGCTGCCATTGCCGTAGTTGTTGTTGATGTGTGGTTGTTGCTGTTGCTGCTACTCCTGCTCCTCTTGCTACTGTACTACGTTTACTATCGATTGTGAAACTACTACACTACAACAACAACAACAACAACAACAACTACTACTACTACTACTACTACTACTACTACTACTACTACTACTACTACTACTAATACTACTACTACTACTACTACTACTACTACTACAACTACTACTACTACTACTACTACTACCATTGCTTGTTGCTGCTGCTGTTCTGCGTGCATGCATATAAAGTACTTCGATGTTCCTGTTGAAAGTTGGAAATAAAGTATTTTGTAGAACTAAAGGCCAGAACTAACCTAATTTGGACAAAAGTTTCGGCAAGGCAAATCGTAGTTCTCCAACCGGTGGTTTTGCGTATGGAATCCCCCGGAAGGCAAAATACGGCTGGCCTTTCTGATCATTCTCCCGAAGACCTTGGAATCTGCCGGCAGGGGCGGACACGGTGGGGTCGATGGCTTGACATTCCCTCACAAGAGAGGTAGTAAGCAAAACTAAGACGATGAACACAAGATGAACACGTCCAGCCATTAGAGAAGAAAGAAATGTACTTCTAATAAATTATAGTTTCCACGGGTAGCGCTATGTCTAACTGAAACTAGTAACTTCAGACACACACTTTGTAAAGGCCAACGAAGCAGTGGGGCTATCCGAATGCTCAGCAAACAAGCCCGGTTCAAAATATAGAACACACGATAATACGTTGAGCTTGAGTGCTGTTTAGGCCTACTGAAGTGTTGACTGATGTAAGTTTTACCTTGCTTTGTAGATTAAGACATCAAACCATTAATGAATTATTGTGTTTTGCACAAGAGTTGCAGTTACTGCAGATAGTCGTCAGACCAACTGTAACTTTTAACTTCAAACAGAAGAACACGTATAATATATCACAGACGATATCACGGTGAACCTATATGTTGTATACCGAACGGTTGAATGAGATTATTAGCTCGACCTTTCAGAGTTCTGCTGGCTGTTTCGATCGTTACATTTACGTTAAGCTCAATACAGTGGAAACTTCGACCTTGGACAGGAATTACCAGTGACCAGGTCGCGCGCCACACGCCTCGCACACACAGACAGAGCAAGATCGCTGAGTCATGTGTTTTGCTTGGCCGGCCAGACAGTTGCTTTGAATTGCAGGGTGATTGCTAGATCCAGATGTCGTTCTTTTACACTGTTCTCTTTTTGAAAGAGATGGGGTTTGAGGAATTCATACTTCATTTGATATTTGTCTTATACGATTAATAAACAACCTCCCTGCGCCGCAGCCCGTCTTTCCTCCCCCCCCCCCTTTTTTTCCACACTCCCGCCCATTAAAAGAAATAGCTTCAGTCAGCCATCGACCCGTGGCTTTTATGCTTGTGACCGTTCAGGACAGGTCCCCACTGTATGCATTATTCTTTCATGCTTGCTCGCAATTTTCTTATATTATCTACTATGTGGGGGCTCCCGTGGACGAGAGGTTACAGTGTTTGCCTCTCATTCAATAGGTCCCGGGTTCGAATGCAGATATCGACAGAAATTTTTCTTCTCTAAAGTTATCTCCTTTCACCTTCTTTCCTGCTTTCTTAAGATACTCAGTTGTCTGCTTTCGTCTCCACATTTTGCCCCCACCCCCTCACCTGTTTGCCTCCTTCCTCTGGGCCAATAACTCTTTCTGCAGTCTTTCTACTGCTACTCCTTGGCTCCTTCTTGCTGCTGTCTTTCAGCCACACCCCTGATCTTATGGTATGTAAGATCTACACTTAGCTTTCTCGGATAAGGGCGAAAAATCTCGGAGATCCCGTGGGCAAGATGTGCACATACATCCCTTGGTGGTCCAAAATCGATAAGAGAAGGCTTAAACCGCCACCCGGACAAAATTCACAATTTTCTATCAACTGAAAATGTTTAATGTGTCCGGCGTGCTAATATGACTGTACGCAGTTACGAGTGCCGAAAAGCACTTTCCAAGATATTTTAAAAAAATAAAAATAGATCTAGCTGCTATTAGACCAGTCAGTTTGTCACATAGATTTAAGACATATTATGTACAACACTCAACATTAAACCGCTAGCGTGGATGGTTGGCAGGTGCCCTGTTTTGAGCTCTATCATACTTATCTCTCTTCCTTTGTTGTGTTCCTTACTTTCTTGAAACAGCTCTAATTTTTGGCAGTAAAATTACCTAACTTTGTGGTAAGTGCAGAGAAAGATTGACTAAAATAGACCCCTAGCGATCTGGAAAACTCACATGTTCACAATCTGAAATGACTTCTGCTGTACCACATGTTTATTATGATGTCTATGCGTTAGTTCTGTGACAGTATCGTAACTGACACCGCTGGAGAGGCCCATATATCCGTAACTTGTAACCCTTGCTCCCACAAAAGGTCACACGTCATACTCAAAGGTACACTGATAACCTCACAGTCCTACAAGTGAACTGTTAGTCTTGCAGTCAGCTGACCGTTGAAATGAGTGTATTGAAGGTGCAATTCAATAAAAGCTATTCAAGAAACATCACGTCTTGCATTAAATTCTTTTATTGTTTCTGTCCTGTTTAGAACGATGCATCCTGTCACGACATGAGTAATTAATGAGTGTGTCGATTGTTGACATCCCCTGCTGGTCATTGTGGCAGTTCTCCGGGGCGTCAAAGACATGATCAATTAAACATACTATTTTCGAAGATAAAAACAACACGATATGACTAATTTCTTTTTACAAAAACCTGTAGCGCCCGTTCCCATACCCTCCACAGGAAATATCATGCTCCCCTGTTTCACTGCATTATTTTTCTCTTTTTTTCAGCTCTTTGTCATCCCCTTTCTATCCCCCATACCCCACCCCTCCCTTTTTTTCAACCCGACCCCCCCCCTCCCTCTTTTTCATGTCTCAAAATGTTTTACTCTCAATTTGGTATCTTTATTTTATGTCTTGTTGAAGCTCTAATCAGTTAGTCATGGCGTTTGGTATTTAGAGAACGGTGACCCAGAAAGAAGGGTTGCTATTAAAATTTCGTAGTACCTCGTTCACTAAAAGTAAGCGGATATAAAACTTTGGAGAAGGAAAAAACCCAGCTTGAATGGTTATAATGTGCACAAATCTGTGTCGTGTTTATTATCTTATTCTTAAACAGTGTGCTTAAAGAGCTTAAAAAAACAATCTTTAATAATATGTAATATTTATAACACTGTAAACAAAAGCATTGTTGTCCATTCAACTCAGACGTCATGCAAAATCGTAAATCTGTGTTATGAGTACATTATACAACAAACAATACATCTGGGAATAAATTAAGTGAAAAGTTTTACGAAAAGAGAATAAAACGGTATAAAAAAAACCCAACTAAAGATGATTCATTGTTTCGATAATAGCATACATTGAATAATTGTGGAGTTGTCTGGTATTTAAATACGCCAAACCTGCAATCAGATTCATGGAGAATAATAAAGCTGGACATGGGTGTGTGCCTGCGTGCACGAGTGTACGTATACGGGTTTATTTGATTGTATCTGTGTTTGTGTGTATGTTTGTGTGGGGGGGTGTGGGGGTGTGTGGGGGGGGGTGTGGGGGGTGTGGGGGTGTGAGTGTGTGTGTGTGTGTGTGTGTGTGTGTGTGTGTGTGTGTGTGTGTGTGTGTGTGTGTGTGTGTTTCTGTGTGCGTGTGCATGTTGTGTATGTGTGCCTATATGTATTTACTATTCCGCAGCAAATTTCTTTGTGAAGATTAATAAAATGTTATATTATCTTCACTGTCTTTGGGGAATCAATGAGTATATACCCAGTAAACACTATAGTATAAACTAGTAAATCTAATAGATCAACAAAAGCCATAAATCAGAAGAGCGTCCGTTTTCTCTCCATTCAGCATTTAAATCAATTTGGTCATAAGATTCGATCATGACTGCTTCAAAGATGACAAGATAAGAGACTGAGCGTTTATTTCACAAAGACTGTTCCCCTGTCCGATCAGCTGATTGACTTACAAACTGGTAGGCTGAATGTTCCTTGTTCAGTTGTCATCTTGAAATAAATGTACATGCTTGTCCCTAGTAACACACTAATAGAAACAGACTCACGTATTCCTAATAATTATTGTCTTGATGTCATAAAAAAGAACTGGCATACAGCTGTTTCCATGTAAAAATAAGTGTGCCGTACAGACCTTGCCTCGTTACATAGTCAAACGACTTAATACGCAAATAATATCTTATGCGGTTTCGTTGACACTCTTACAAACCCGTTGGTATGGCTTTTTGTTTTTAAAGAGCCAGTTCTCTGAGGCCTTCTTGCAAGAACCTTCTCTCATTCATCTGTTTCCTCATTGAAATTGAAGTAAAAATGCAATATGTCTCTCTGTTTTTATTCACACACTTATTAAACCTAATATCCTAAGAAATATCACGCGATTGTACAACTAATAGTTCTACAACTCAGTATGCGCATGTTTTCCCGGAACCGACTCCGTGAGTTCTTCCAGCCAGAATCTCCTCTTGTCAATCTCCAGTCCCTGTCGGACCTCCGCACGAGGTTTGAAGTCCAGGTACTTCATGTCCTCCACATTGTACTGTGGCCAGTCGGCGCTCCTGTAGAATGGGAAAAATAAGTACAAACAAAATGATTCCCTTTGTGAACAAACTGTAGCTCTCTGCTCTGGCACAGCCAGTAAAGAACTTGATCAGCCACACGAAAGTTTGAGGCCCGAATTCGTGTAGGGTCAGAACTTTTTTGCTTTGTTCAGCTTCTTTTTTAGCTGTTTTCTTTTTTCCTTAGTATTTTCATATCTCTTTTCACCCCCACCCCCTCCCCCCGCCCGCGCGCAATATTCCCTATCGAGTAATTGTGCCACCGCATGTTTAGAGAAAATAAAAATAAAAAGGTCTTTATAGTGAAACAGTTTAAAACTCATTCTCTCGACAAAATATACAACAGTGATTTCCTTCTCCATCAATTTTAGCATGTCTCTATTTCTCTATTGAGAAGATTGGCAGCTGAATTAAAATAAATACTTGGCCACAGAAAATGTATGTGTGTGTGTATATTTGGAGGGGGAGAGGGGTGCTCAGTCCATGCCTTCGTTCTGGAGCCGTGACGGTGTGCAGATTAGATGTCAAGAGGTACATAATAAAGCTTACCTCACAAATGCGTGAATTTATGTTGTGAGTTGTATGTGAGGGTGTGTCTGGATGTGTGTGTGTGTGTGTGTGTGTGTGTGTGTGTGTGTGTGTGTGTGTGTGTGAGAGAGAGAGAGAGAGAGAGAGAGAGAGAGAGAGAGATTGTTTGGCTGTGTGTAGACGGGTGCGTATGCATACCATGCTGCAGTAAATTTCTCTTTGCGGAGATCAATAAAATCTTACTTTTCCTCACCTTAATTCGCCTTACCGTACCTCAGCTTTCTTTACCTTACCCTACCTTACCTTACTTTGTCATATCTTACCTTTTCTTATCAATTTCTTATTCTATTTTATCGCATCTTACCTTAAATGTAGTTAAATTAAGTTATATGTCTGGTTAGAAGCCCAGATGGCATCGAGTCAAAAAACAGAAAATACCAAACAAGAAACTCTTAGGACCTACCCAGTTTTTGTGAAGTCTGCAATGATTTTGGAAAGTCGTGACTTGAGGTCCAAATCTTCGTCATCCATTCCTATCGTCCCATCAATTCCTTGTTTGAGAATTTGCTCTATCCTTTCAACGGACATATCAAACAAGTAACATAGATCTAGTCCGTGGACAATTCCCTTCTCTTTTCCTTTCATAAATCTCGGGAAGTGATTAAAGTGGAAAAGCCAAACCTTGGTATCTTTTCCTCTGGAGGCAGCGTCTATAAAATCAAAAGTAGGAATTTCAAAACTCAAATCACTGATTATCATTGTTAGAGTATCATCCCCGTATCGTCTGTCATACCAACTAACGATTTTGTCAACGATGGAGGTCGACACCATGGCGTCCATTCGGGACCGAGCGTAAAAGTTGTACGCTGAAGATAGTGTTTTTCTCAATAAATCTGCTTTTTCTTCGTCAGTAATATCGTCCCGGCTGTTAATAGCAATAGCTGAGGAGCTTCTCATAATGGAAGCTTCGTTGTTGTTAATCCCAACGAGGTATGATCTTTTGAAGAAACCTACGTCTTCCAAGTAACTGTCGTCTTGGAGCAGCTGTAAAGGTGGTCTAGGGACAAAGTCTTTGTCGACTATAGGAACGAAAGCAGTTTTGTCAACACGGAATGGCACGTACTGGGTGAAGTTAGACAAGGGCAGTTTGCGCAGACATTCTACCACTTTCCTGGTCGTGTCAGAGTCAGCTTTTTGCGAGGCGTCGCCTTCAAAGCAGTTGACACTGGCAGCGAGAGTTAAAGCATCTTTCTGAGGGTCAAGTGCTTTGCCGAATGCGGAAGTGGGGGTTCCGCTCTGTGGATACGCCTTAGAGAAAAGTCCTTTGGTGTGAGGGGAGATGGAAAGATACCCCACGGCAGAACCCCCCGCAGACTCCCCGGATATGGTGACGTCGTTAGGGTCGCCTCCAAAAGGCGCTATGTTGTCCTTGACCCATTTCAAGGCCAGTGTCATGTCCCAGAGCCCAAAGTTTCCAGGGCCGGACTGATCCTCAGTGCTGAGGAAACCAAGAACGCCCAAGCGGTAGTTGATGGTAACGAAAACAATGTCGTGAGTCGTCACAACAGTGCCTGTGTTGTACTCATTAGAACTCCCAACAATATACCCACCGCCATGTATGAAAACTAACACCTTCTTTGGAGACAATGGAGCCAACGCTTTGGTGTAGACGTTAAGAAAAAGGCAGTCCTCTTCACCTTGTTCCCTGTTTGTGAGTTTCAAAAACATGTCTGGCATGGGGCAGACGGGCCCATGTTTCGTCGCGTCGAATGTGCCGTCTGAAAAGAAACATTTATTATAACGATACTCTTTTACTTCTAGAACTCTCTGGTAGTGGGACACATAACGACAGGAATCAAAATGTTAGTGTTTACATGCATCGAGGGAGAGAGAGAGAGAGAGAGAGAGAGAGAGAGAGAGAGAGAGAGAGAGAGAGAGAGAGAGGGAGAAAGGGGGGGGAGGGGGGAGAGATATAGAAAGAGAAAGAGAATGGCAGAAAGAGAGAGAGTGACAGAGAGACATACAGAGAGTGAGAGAGTTGAGAGAATGAGAGAGAGAGAGCTATCTTGTACCTGATGCCCACTGCTGTTATACTTTCTGATTTGGTTGGGACCAATTCAAGACGTTGTACCACTCTACAGGCGTGGGCGTTATAATATTACAATGCTATAACTATAAACTAACTAATCGTCTGTACTTTATATTTCAGGTGTGTTTTGACAGTCCGAAGTCAATAGGATCAAACCATTCAAATTTCAAAGACCCCTGCCAGCCAGAGTAAGGGGATTTGCTTTTGTGCATGCGTAACGAACCTCGATATTTCTATTGAAAGTTGGAAATCAAATGCTTTCATACAGTAATACAAATCCAGCACCAACCTACCTAGTTTGGGCAAAGGTTCCGGCAAGGCAAATCGTAGTTCTCCAACCGGTGGTTTTGCGTATGGAATCCCCCGGAAGGCAAAATACGGCTGGCCTTTCTTATCATTCTCCCGAAGACCCTGGAATCTGCCAGCAGGGGTGGACACGGTGGGGGCGGTGGCTTGACAATCCCTCACAAGAGAGGTTGTTAACAAAACTACGACGATGAACTCAAGATGAGCACGTCCAGCCATTAGAAGAGAAATTAATGTGCTTATGAATTACGGTTACCACATCCACAGTAATCCCTCAGTCTATGGTCATCTGTAACGATTAACTTGAAACAAAAACACACGCAGCCCACTCTTAGCACTAGTCAACGAAGCAATGAAGTTCAATGTAGCCTTCCGAATGTATATCAAGCTAGCTGGGTTCAAGATATAGCACAGGTGATAACACGCTCAAGCTTAGCTGAGCTCAGACACAGTGAAATAAGCACCTCGTCAGCCGGCAGTCCTCTCCAGACGTCGTCGAAAATCGCTGATCAAAATTTAACAGGCTTGTTTTGCATTGTGCTCAACAAAGTAAGTAGATCTAGCGTCTTTCAAAACGCTGAGCCATCCCCGTGTTAGACCTGAGTCCTCCCCCTGAGGCGATGGGATAGAATAGATCTATTGTGTATAAATTGTGCCCTCTCAACTCGGGTTCGAGGTTTCTATGTCAGAATCTTCGATATTTTATGTTTAACCCTAGCCCTCAAATAGGGGTCAGACAGACTCCAACAGCCTGTTTTCATACTCAAGCATCACCGCCTGCCTACTGAAATAATTTCACAACCCCCCTGGCATGCCTCAACCATCCAATTTCCAAACCCAGTCTTGAATCTGGATTGTATACAGTTATTATGATGTTTGTGACAATTTTATTTTGCACATACCCTCTCAAAACACAATGGGGTATTTAGCGGAAACGTGGCTTTTGTGATTCTACAATCTGTTGGACGTGGCAGGTATTGCAGCGTTCATAGCTTTCACAGAGCAAAACCCTCTTTTGGAACGTCAACAAAAAGCACAGGGGAAGACGGCTGTTCTTTAAGCAACAGATGATCTCTGTATTCCACTTATACTACTTATAGAAAGACGTGCTGCTGCTGGAAAGTTGTGCAAAACAGTGCGCATGATTATTGTGCTGTGTGGTTCTCGTGGTCTAGAGATTAAGATGTTCGCCTCTCATTCAATACGTCGCTGGTTCGAATCTGGGTAGCGACGGAAAATATTGTTCTCTAAAATTTTCTCCTTTCACATCTTTTCTTTCTCTCTAACAATGTTTTGTTGTCTGTTTTCGTCTCCACATTCTGCCTCAACCTCCTCACCTCCTTTGCCCCCTCCTCTGGGCTCCTGACTCTTTCTGTAGCCTTACTACTGGTACTCCTTGGCTCCTTCTTAGCTGTCTTTCAGCCACAACCCTAATCTTATGGTAGGTGAGATCTTTACCAAACCTTGTCGGATAAGGGCGATAAATCTCGGAGGTCCCGTGTGCATGTTGCCCACGTTAAAGATCCCATGGTGGTCCAAAATCGATAAATGTATGCTTCGGCTGCCACCAGAGCAAAATGCAAAATTTCCTACTAACTGAAAAGGTTTAATGTGCCCCGCGCGCTCATATGACCTTAAGCAGTTGCGGGCGCCGTAAAACACTTACCAAAAGAAAAACTGATTTCCTCCACAACTACACCTCTAGTTGGCAAAAAGAAACGCTGTGCGCTTTGCGACCGCAAGCGAGACCGAAATCAAAACTGATAAGTGAACAGTGCGAAATTTCTGTGTGCCGGGCGCATTCTTGCACCAAGCGTATCTGTTTGACATGTCAGTGATGCCTACACCACCTACACCATGATCAAGTTCAATGTAATTATTTCATCAAGTTTCCGTTGTTACCCTCTGTTCTTGTTGTCTCATCTGTTTGGGTCCAAAATCCTCTTGGACCTCGTTTCTTAATTAAATGTTCCTTCAACTAGACCACTTTGGGACGCATTCTAGCAGGATTCGAACCACTACCCTTTAAATAGCCTATATAATATACTGTCAACCCGAGAAGCCATTGTACACCTGCAGTATTCAGAGTAAATAAAGTACAAGCCATATTCAAATGATTTATATATGTCTCGCACAACATTTGCTATTTATAAAACAGTCAACATGAACAATCTGGAAAACCTTTTTCATATTAAACAGCTAAACTGACCGCTGTGATGCCACATGATACGCGTTTGTCCTGTTGCAATATCCTCACTCACTCCAATACGTAGGCTCGGATATCGCTAAATCATTATATAACCTGGCCCCACAACAGCCCGCATACTATCATATCTCTAGATTAGGCCTAGGTACGGTCTCAAAGTAGGCCTGAAGTCCTGCAACTAGCGGTCTTTGTTAAGGCTTTGGGGGGGGGGGGGTAAGTCAGTCAGCGTTTTACACACCCTGTAGAAACAATTTAGATCATATAGAATGCGGGATTCGACCCAGGCTGCCAAGATCAAAAACGGACAAAAAGTTATACAACGTCAATGCAGAAATTTCGAGTCATTCGTTAGCGTTTAGAAACTCCCCTTACATGGTAATCGAAATTGTGTGCTCTGCCTGCGACTGCAAAACGCCTTATCGATACACGCAGACACAAGTAGATGCCCGCTGAAATTTACTGAGGCTGCAAGTCAAGAATAGAAGTATCTCCTCTTAACACTGAACTCATCAACTACTTTTGCCTTGCCTAGAACTATAACTGTACATCACTGTAAAATAAACTAAGCAATGGAGCAGTTTCAGTTAGGACTAAGCTGCACTGGGCCGTTACGCAAGTTTAGCATAATGAACGTCCGTTCGTCTCAGAATTTATCTCGGACAAGGACACGGTGAACCGTACCGTTGTATATGATACGGATTTTCATTCAGGCTTGCTCGCAACATCCCTTTAATTGCTATCTTACCAGCCTGTTGTAGCACAATACTTATTATGTACACGGTCAACACACACACACACACACACACACACACACACACACACACACACACACACACACACACACACACACACACACACACACACACACACATCAAGGAAGAAGTCATGAGGATAAATAATTTTCATTGAAGTGTTTATTTTTGCAGAGAAATATTCATTTAAAGATGAGCCCTTTAATTTCCAAATTAAAAAAATCTGGACATCATTAATACATGTAATTGCCACACAGATTACTTCCTGATACTGGATGCAGGGACAAGATCGGTTGTTAATGTTGGATGAACTGCTGAAGGAATCTGCTGCTAGATTCGTTCTACCGATTTCTCAAGTTCATCTAGCGTTTGGGGCTGGTCAGTTCTCGCTGAAATTGGTCTTTACTGAGGATACCGGAACTAAACGTGATTTATTTGTGATGCCTTGGTTTTTACCTAAGAATATTACGTGCCACAGTGATGCAGGACACAATCTGTCCTGGAAATGAAATCGGTGGATGCTTCGGTCTTGCCTTTGCATTGTAATCCGGCACCTGCCACGTCTTGGTCTTTCATGTGTCGTTCTAGACGCCTGGACACGTGTGCACAAATGCCGAAGGCTCTATCTGTGGATGTTGCGCCTTTGAGCCACATCTCGTTGTGTATTTCCAACCTGTGGCATTCCTAACGCCCTCCTATCCTTTTTCAATAGACATGACATGTTTTAAAAGCAGAAATATCGCGATATTTTATGTTTTTCGACATAAACACAAATAGAGGAAGTGAATTATAAGATTTTTATTCTAAATACGCGTACAAATAACTGCATAATGAGGTAGTTGACTGAATTTAATACCATAGAGTTATATCTCCTTTGCCAAGATTTTTTTTAAAAAATGGAACTTCTAGCATCATCTAGGCACTTCAGTGAACGTGCTCACTATGGCGTCATTTGGCTTCGGAAAGTCCCATAGGGTTTTGTTTCCGGACATGACGTCTCATC